CGTCGTAATTGTGTGTAGATTGACCAATCAATCATCATTATTCATGAAAATTTCCTGACAAACACACACACGTTCGCATCCAAATCTTAGCTTGTTCGGATTTGCGTTCCAGCTGAAATTACATCTTGTACAACGAACCAAATCACCATAAACAGTCATCAAGGAGTCAATTTTCCTGCATTCAAACATTCACCGCGTGCACGAAACATTATGAACGAGTCTACAAGCGTGACGAATGGGATGCACGCACGAAAACATGCAGCGCTTCGACTGCATGTTTTGGAGCACGAAGCCATGGCAAGAATTCGAGTCAACCGCACTTCGACACGACCTGAGCAAACGGATCGTCAATACTCTGCCAAGCAAATAGAATTCATCAATTTTTTTAATTGGAATCGGTTTTGTGGCTACATGATGAGCATGTAACACCAGCCAAAATGGCCTTCTTCTTGACCCACATCCAAGATCGTCCGGTGAGATCAAGTGGACGTAAACGACCAGAAACTGACGCTGGTGGAGTGATCGAAACAAGCAATGGTGAAGACGAAGACAAACAAGATCATGTCGGGGAAACTCGAATCATTGGCTATCACACGGTTGCTGCTTATGCAAATGCTCTTATGGACATTTGGAAGTTCCAATATGAGCTCAATCAAAATCCATTGCCTCCAATTCGCCCAAATGCCGTCAAGGAGCTGATGAAGCAAATAAATGTCAGTGGTGCAACAAGAAAATTCCCAGTTTGCTGACCGAGGAAAGGGGACTATGGTCAATTGCGAAAATCAAGCAGCATTGCGAAGGATCAGTCACTATGTCCCCTTGAAGCAACGTTTGAGAGGCAAAAACGCCGATTCCAGCTCTCGGTATCGTCGATTCGGCGGTGTAGACAATTGGCATCTGAGCCCCATAGACACCCCTCGTCCTTGCATCGCGCAACGTGAACAATTCGCGTGGAGGCTCCATTGGAGACTTTGGGGTTTGCTTGGCCTTCCACTTCCGTTTTCGTTCGCGGGCCATAGCTTGCTTTTCAGCAGCCGATCGTGTTGCCTTGAAGACGACAGACTCGACGGGGTGATGCCGGGTACTGTGCATACGCAAAGCGTCGTTTTGGTTTTCGTTGTACTTGGCTTCACATTTTGGGCAATGGTAATCCCCATTGTCGTCCTTTGTGACTAGTTTTTTCCCCATTTATGCCGTCCTCGAGTTAAATTTGAAGATGCAATTTTTGGTATAACGCATATCCGAACAGACTCTGATAGGCTGAAATCATACCTTCGAGATTGGTTGAAAGCCTGATATT